AAAAAAAAAAACAAACCCTTCTTTAGGACAGGCTGGGGTGCTGGGCCAGAAGCCTCCGGCTCTCCTCTTCCAGACTTAAAAGTGGGATTAGGGAGGAAAAATAACCTACTGGGTTTGCAGTGCTGGTTGGGAGGCAGAGGAAAGAACCAGTTATTATGGACCCTATTTCCTTCCTCTGAAAACCTGGTGAAAGTAGGCATGAAGCCAAAGCACAAGGCTTTAGCACCAGGCTGCCCAGAATGACTTCTTGTGACCGAGGCTTCCCCGTGCCGGGCAGGTGGACAGGCGGGCACAGCGCAGCTGCTGGCACCCACACTCACCTCAGCAGAGGCTCTCCACTCACCCTGGGCTCCAAGCCGCCCTCTGCATCGCCGCCCCATGTCACTCACCTCCTTGGCCTCGCGGACTCGGGCCAGGAAGGCGCGCAGCTCCAGGGTTTCCACAAAGAGGGCCCGGCACACGGCCTGGTAGTGGGCCTGTGCACCCCGGGGGTCAGTGAGGCGAGCTGCACACAGCCGCATGGCCTGGGCGAAGGTGTGCACAGCGCGGGGGACACCTTCGGCTGCCGCCTCCTCCTCCTCCTCAGGGCCCCCGTAGCCCTCGTCCGCCGTGCTGCAGCCGCCCTCGTCACAGTCGCTGTTGGCCATGAGGTCGATGAGCTGCTCCAGCTGTGGGCTGAGCTCGCGCTCCTCGCTCTCATCCAGCCCCCAGTCCAGCGCACGGTAGATGGCAAAGCCCAGTGACTGCACCATCTGAGGGACAGGGGTGGTGTCACGGCTCAGGATCCAGCCGGGGCCGTGCTGCCTGGCAGAGGCTGGGAGGGGGCAGTCTTCTCACAGTGACACAGAGGCAGACCCATGATGACACTCAGAACATATCTGCCACTTTGGAAAATAGCCTGAAGGATTTTTTTTTTTTTTTTTTGAGTCAGGGTCTCATCACATAGGCCAGGCTGGCCTGAAACGTGAAGCGATCTTCTTGCCTCAGCCTCCCGAGGGCTGGGCTTACAGGTGTGTGCTGCCCCACCCCCTCCTAGCAAATGCACCCACCACCTGACTCAGCATCTCTTCTCCCCTATTTACCAGAGAGAAATACCCAAACCAGGAAACAGTGCAGGCATTCTCTAGCTGGTGGGTGTAACTGTGACTAGTGTCTATGGAGCAGGAAGAAAGGGACAAACAAGAGTGTGAGTCACACCACTACCCAGACAGAGGCAGACAAAATGCCTTCACCCTGCGTGGTTCTCTTTGCATGAACCTCTAAGCAAGAGGAGCCCAGCCAAAGTGACAGGAAGAGGTCAGCAGAGCCCTGAGCAGGCTGGGCTGGGACAGGAAGGCTCCCGGGTGACTGGGGACGGGCGGATCTGTCTGGACTCTGGTGTCCAGGCACAGTGTCAGTTGCAAGAAAGCTGAATGGAAGAGACACACTGAACAGCAGCCTCGCTGTGCCACAGCAAGGGACCCTGAACCCAGGAGGAGGACACGCTGACTGTAACTCACTCCCACTAGAGTCTGGGTCCCCTGTTGGTGCTGGGGTGGGGCCAGGGCCCCACACATGCCACATGGACTCTTGTCTCTGAGCCTCACCCAAGCCCCCTTGCAAACGTCCCCAGACGGGGAGGCTGAGGTGGGGCCTAGTGCCCATCTCCATGTCCCTAGGGCAGCGGCCAGCACATGCCAGGGGACAGTGGGGCCCCATGCCTTCCTTCCTCACCAAGCTCCTGTACACCATGTCCTGTGCCACCACAGGTCCAGCAATGGGGCAGGCTGGTCACAGACTAAGACCCCCAGCCGTGAACCAAAGTAAACCTTTCCTCTTTCTCACAACTGTAACAGAAAACAGATTAACTTCTATAAGTCGGATTTTTTCTTTTTTCTTTTGGCTGACTCAGGCTGCCTCCAGAGCAGGTTTGGGGATTGAACCAAGGTCTCCTGTGCCTGAGTGGGTTTGCCAGAGCAGGCACTTAAACAATGGAGCTAACCTGCAAGCCCCCCTGTAAGTCATACATTTGATGCTTGTAAAAATTGACATCTCACTGTCAGATGTGGTGGCACACCTGTAATCCCAGCACCTGGGAGGCCGAGTCAGGAAGATTGCTATGAATTTGAGGCCACTCTGGACTACACAGTGAGTTTAAGGGCAACCTGAACTGCATAGCGAGACCTTGTCTCAAAAAAAAAAAAAGCTATCTCAGCTGGATGTGACGGCACAGGCCTCTGGGCCCAGCACTGTGGGAGGCTGAGTCCAGCCTGGGTAATGTAGCTACTCAAAGACCCTGTCGCAAACTTTTAAAAAGGCAGGGGCTATGGCTCAGTACAAAGTCCCGGGTTCAGGTTCCAGCTTTAAGACAAGAGACATCTCACACTTGCAGTTACCCTCCAGCCCGACCTGCGTGGGTGGCGGGAAGACCCCAGAATTACCCAGGGACTCGGCGCCCACGGCCCGCAGCACCACGCTGCCTACTTCGTGCTGCGTAAAGGTCTCTTTAATAAGTAGTTTGCAAGGAATTAAAAATCCATGAAGTGTCACAGTAGAGGCCCATTGACTCAGCATTTCTCAGCTTGGTTCTCTGTCTTCTCTGCCTCTGCCTCTGCCTCTGCCTCTGTCTCTGTCTCTCTGAGACAGGGTGACTGTGTAGTCCAGGCTGGCCTGGAACCCACTATGTAGCCTAAGCTGGCCTCAAACTCATGAAATCCTCCTGCCTCAGCCTTCCAAGTGCTGGGATTACAAACATGCACCACCTCACCCAGCAACACTTTCAGTTGTACTGGGAGCGACCCCAGTTCTCACCATCTACTCTGGAGCCCTGGAACCAGGGCTCCATGCAAGGCCCTAGCCAAGGGCACTGTGTTTACCCCAGGGTTGCCTGCACCCTGACCTTCCTGGCCCCTCCCACACAGCTCCCTGTGAAGCGCAGGTCCCCTAGCTGGCAGCGCAGCCTGGGCACCCACAAAGCCGAGTGCAGGGCAAGGCCACACTGCTGAGGCAGCGCTGTGTGGCAGATGGGCACTGGCACCTCCTGAGTGCACCAGCTGAGTGGCCTCTCCTCCCATTTCCTGGGTCCCCACCACCAGGAGCCCAGGAACCTGGCCCGAGCTGGGCACAGCAAGCACAGGTCACCGGTGAAGCCAGTGCCCAGCAGGGGCTCTCAAGCACAGCCTAGGAATTGCCCCTCAAGACTCAGGCCAGGGCTTGGGAAGGTGCGAGAGCGAGGCAGGCACGGGGCAAAGTCCAGAGGCCGCGCCCGGGTGTGTCCATGTGGCCCACACGGAGCCTCAGATCCGTCACAGCGGGGAATTAGAGCCAGAGGCCCCGCCAAGGCAGGTCGCCTGGTGCAGTGTCACTCCTGGGTGCCACGTCAGGTCACACACATGCCCATCGTTCTCTTTTTCCAGGAAAGAGCAGTGTGGTTATGGTAGGTACAAGGCAGGGGTTTCACGCCCTCCCAGGTCTGCTGCAGCTCTGCCGCACACCTGGCAGAGACCGAGCAGGAAAGTGCCCTGCCCTGCCCACCGTGCCCGGGTCCCTGCCGCTGGCCTGCGCTGGCTGTGAAGGGCGGGCTGCCTCGCACCCAGCTGTCTGGAAGCTGACAGCTCTGTTGGGGAAAGCTCTCCTCCGCCTGGTCCAAGGAAGCTCTCTGAAAGGCACCAAATGCTTCTTTCCCATAGGACAGATCTGAGCAGCTGGCTCAGGCTCTGGTGTGGCCTGCAAGCGGCAGCTCCTGCTTACGGGGGCCTCAGCCAGCCTGCAGACATGGCAGGCCGAGGACCTGGTGGGACCCAGACACTGGGTGGCACTTCCTGGAACCCACACAGCCAGAGTCAGGATTAGCAACTCGGGGTGGGCCCTCAGGTTCACTTGTGGGCCTCTAAAGAATGGTGTAGTGCAGACTCTATTCCCATAGAGTTCTTTGTGAATTTTTTTTTTTAATTTTAGGGAATCGTCTGCTACTAGATCGGACTTATAGTGATCTGCCTGTTTACAGCCTCCCAAGAGCTGGGATTACAGGCGGGCACCAACACGCCCAGTCTCAATTGTCATCTTGGTGTGCCCAGGGGGTGGGGCCAGCATGGTAGGTGTAAATGTTAAGATGCTTTACAGAGCCAAGAATATAACTCAGTGGCACAAGTGCCTGGCAAGTGCAAAGTCCCAAGTTCAATTTCTGGTACAGAAAAAAAAAAAGAAGATGCTTGGGCTGGCGAGACAGCTCAGTGGACTGAAGTGCCTGCTTAGGCAAGCTTAGGCAAGTGCAGGCACCGCGGTGCGCTCTTCCAGCTTTCGCTGAGCAATCCAGGTGTGCTTCAACAGTGCAAGGCCCTTCAGGACTGAAGAGCAGGCACCGTGGTGCACACCTGTGTTCCCAGCACTGGGAAGGCTGAGACAGGAGGACCACCATGAGCTCGAGGCCAGCCTGGGTCACAGCCTGAGTTTATCTGGAATACTAGAAAGACCTTGTCTCCAAGAAACAGACGCTCTTGAAAGCCGGGTGGGCACATGAGAGCCTGAAGGCAAGGGCTGCCTTGGCTCTGAAGCCAGCCTGGGCTAGCACCAAGTTGAAGGCCAGCCTGAACAGTGAGACCCTGTCTCAGAAAGTAAATAGATAAAATAAATGGTTTTTAAATACCTGGGCTTCCGAGCTGGACGGTGGTACCACCATGGTTGTGGGTTCTGTAAGAGAAGACAGCGACTGAGGTGGTTGGCAGCCCCGGGCCCGTGCACAGGGCCGCCCGCTTCCTCCAGCTCCCCTAAAGTCCCCAAGGAATGGCAGAGGGGCGGGAGCAGCTCAACATGGAGCCCACACAAGGCCCTGGGGGGTCTCTGGCACCCCCACTCAGGCCCCAAAGAGGTGAAACACGGGTCAGCTCTGGGCAGGACAATGGGGTCTAGGGATTGAGGATGATGCACCTGCACCCCAAGGGCTGATGAGCGCTGTGGAGCAGGGCTGGGCTGGGCACGGAGGGCACAGGCCCCCAGTCACGGGCAAGGTGGGCTTTGCGGGAGAAACTACCCCAACCAGGCCCCGTGGCTGGGCATCTTCCCAGGCTGGGCAAGGCCTCTGGTCGGAGCACAGGGGGACTGACCCTGTATTTTATTCAGTGCTGGCCAGCGAGCGCCCACTTCACAGGGCTCCTCGGGTAGCCGAGCACAGCCTACGAGGACCTGCTTGGCACTCGGGCCTCACAGGGGAGACCTGTGCTGCGTGAGCTGAGTGAGTGGCGGGCCAGGGACCCCTGACTCTGCTCTGTCCCAAACCTTCCAGCAGGCCGGCGAGGGACAGACAGACAGCTGCCCTCGTCACGACCGCCTCTGCGTGGGCACAGGGGCCTCAGCAGCCTGAAGCTCTCCCTGGAGTGCGGCAAGAAAGATGGACGGACGGCAGAGCTGCCTGCCAAGTGCAGCGCACAGCTCCTCCAGAATGCTGCCAGGAGCCCGGAAGATGGCCAGAGACAGGGCAGGCTGCAGCCCATTAAAGTAATGGAGACAGAGCCATCCGCACAGCAGCGAGGTCACTGTAGGTGGCAGGCAGCGCGCAGCAGGGACGGCGACCCCCCCCCCACCTTGAGTGCTGGGTGAGAGCCGGCACCTGGACCCACAACAGGCCCTCGGCAGGACAGCGTCAGAACTAAAGGGAAGGTGCTTCCTGGAAGGGGCCGGTGCCCAGCCACAGCCAAGCAGGCCGGGGGGCACGGGGACACGGGGGCTCTTCTGTGGGCTGAGACAGGTCTTGTCCAGGGTGTGGGTGCCGGAAAGCTTCCTGCTGGGTTTGTTTTTTCTGATACCAGGACCCTTGAGCTCACTCAGCAAGCACTCTGCCACTGCGCTACACCCTATTTCTTTCTTTATTTTTTAAAATTTATTTATTTTATTTATTTAGTGTGTGTGTGTGTGTGTGTGTGTGTGTGTGTGTGGCCAGCTCAGCCCACCAGGGGGCGGGGCTAGCTGGCATGTGGTGCTGGGGGATTGAACCGCGGTCCCTGTGCTTTGCTAAGCTTGTTCTAAGTAGGTGCTTTAGACCACTGAGCCATCTCACCAGCCCCCCTATTTCTTTAAAATGTCATTTAGTATGGGCTGGAGATACAGCTTGGTGGCACAAACACCTGTCTGGCAAGCACAAGGTCCTGAGTTTGACTCCCAGTACCAAAACAAACAAAAACCCTTAAGAATGTTATTTATTTTGCAGCACTGGGGATTGATCCCAGGGCCTTCACACTGAATTATATCCCCAGTTCTGTTTTAATTTTTTATTTTATTTGTATTTTTTAGGTAAGAGTCTACAGGGTGTTCAGGGGCTCACCACTAGACTGGACTTGTAGTGATTCTCCCGTTTACAGCCCAAGTGCTGGGATTACAGATATGTGCCACCATGCCCAGTCTCAATAACCGTCGAAGCATGCCCCAGGGGTGGGGCCAGATGGCAGGCCGGGGGATCAAACCCTGGCCCCTGCACCTGCTTGCAGGTGCTTTATAATTTTTTTTTTTTTTTGGTGGAACCAGGGATTGAACTCAGGCCCTTGTGCTTGCCAGGCAAGTACTTATTCCACTGTGCCATCTCCCTGGCCCAATTTTTTTTATTTTGAGATAGGATCTTGCTAAGTCACTCAGGCTGGGCTGGAATTTGCAACTGTCCCGCCTCAGTCTCCCAGAGTACTTGGATTGCAAATGTCCACCACCATGTCCAACCTTTTTTATTTCTTATTTGAAGACAGGGTCCTGCCGAGTTGCCCACGCTTGCCCCCCACTTGGGATCCTCCTGCCTCAGCCTCCCAAGTAGCTGGGATTGTAGGTGCTCACCGCCCCCCTCCGGTTCTGTTGTAATAACTTTGATACTTTGGTCCCTGACTTAAACATCGGTGTGTACGTTAACAACGAAATTGTGCCAACATCAAGTGTTCGTGAATCTAATTCTTCATCTGTAAGAATTATGTGTGGCTTGCAATTAGGTCCTTGGCATGAGGAGCGAGAACTGGTGTGGACCCTACCCCACTGCAAGTGAGTAGGAAGGCTCCAGCCCAGCCAGCTGCCTCTGCCAGGCAGAGGCCTCTATTCCATGACACAGGTGCGGATCTGGGCTCAGGGAGGCCGGGAAAGTGAGCCAAGAACTCAAAGCAAGCACCCAGCAGTGCAGAGCTGGAGCCTGCAGGTCCCTCCATGGTCTCCACTAATCTGTATGGCACCCAGGGGCTGCCAGGTAGGGTTGGGCAAACTACTTTTGCTTATTTGAAAAGTTCTCTCCAGGGCTGGGGAGATAGCTTGGCAGTCTAAGCACCTGCCTGGCAAGTGCAAGGACCTGAGTTTGATCCCCCATACCACATGCTGTGCCAGCCCCAAAACTGGGAGTGGTGGTACACACCTGTAATCCCAGCGCTGGGAAGGCTGAGACAGGAGGATCACTACAAAAAGTCTGAACTGAGTAGCAAGACCCTATATCAGGGCTGGTGAGATGGCTCAGTGGTCTAAAGCACCTACTTAGAACAAGCTTAGCAAAGCACAGGGACCGCGGTTCAATCCCCCAGCAACACATGCCAGAGCTGGCCATACACACACACACACACACACACACACACACACAAATAAAAAAAAGAAAAAAAAAGACCCTATATCAAATAAATAAGTCAAGGGCTGGTGAGATGGC